GGGAGGGGCGGGGTAAAAAAGAGTCCGGGCGGAGGCAGACAGGGCGCTGGCAGTGAGGCACCTGGCGGGGGTGGCCCGGGGCCCGGGGTGGCCCTGCGTGCTCGCCGCGGCGCTTGGCAGTCAGTCTCACTCCTCCTCCATCATGGACATGATGAGCATGTTCTTCTTGGCCACCTTGGAGTACTTGAGGTCGATGGGATCCGTGTAGTCGTACAGGGCCGGCGCCTGTAGGATGATGAGGCAGGTGCCGCCTATGCAGGCCGCCGCGAAGATCCACAGGAATAACCGGTCCAGGACCATGGCCACGTACTTCCAGTCGTCCATCACCTGCAGTCAGTGAAACGGAAACATTTTAGCACCTGGTGCAGGACCATCGCGGGGCCGGCGCACGGCCGCCGTCGAGCGCCTTACGGAGGCCGGATAGGCCGCGCGCTGCACCGGAGCGCGGCGGGCAGGCCTATCCGCGCGGCGCTCTCTGCGCTACTCACATTCTCGAACTTGTCCTTGTTCTTGACGTGCTGAGCGATAAACCTCGCGTCCTCGATGGTCTTGTCCATGTCCCGGAAGGCCGGGCTCACGTCCCCGGGCAGTCCGCAGACGCCGCCGCAGATGGTGCCGCCGCAGCCCGCGCTGAAGAGGTCGTCCTCGGGGCCGGGCAGCGGCGGCGGCGGCAGCGGCAGCGGCGGCAACGCCGCGTGGAGGTCCATGTCGAACCTGCGCATCCGCCACAGCAGAGTTAGGGGCGGAGTTCCGAGCGCCGCTCGGAGCCAAACTTGGTTGTCGTCAGTTTAGCTTGCAAACTTACCTCGAAGACGGCTGTATTGACGGCGGTAAAACGCCAATTTCAAAGTCTGCGCTAAGTCTCTTCCCCCCGTAGCTGACGTACTTGTCCATCTCCGAGGGGACGTCTAGCGAGGTGAGCGCCACGTCCGTCTCATCCTCGTCACCGGAGTCTTCTTTCTTTGGCCTCTGAATGCATAATACCTGCTCAAACGAAGACAGACAAAACGCGAATGAGTTGGAGGAAGAACCTTTCGAAGAGGACCTGGGGAACGCAAGAGTCCTTTTGAAGGTTCGGAACTCACCCTAGGTAAAGTGTTTATAAAAAATCTCTGCACCCAAGGCTTCATCCGATGCGTGACGGGCGACCGGAAGTTGACGTTGAGCACGATGATGGTGACGACGACGGAGAGCGTGACGAGCACCATGGTAAAGAGCAGGTACTTGCCGAGGAGCGGGACAGTCAGTGAGGTGGGCGGGATAATCTCGGCAAGCAGCAGGAAGAACACAGTCAGTGAGAGCAGGATGGAGATACACAGCGACACCTGCACAGGAGAGAGAGAGAGAGAGACGTTATGAGCCAACACGTTTTAACTCTTATGAGGGAAAAAATGCAACAAAATTGGGAGTGAACCCCCTCACCTTCTCGCCCGAATCGGACGGCAGGTAGAAGACGAGCACCGACAGGAATGAGATGCCGACGCACGGAATGATGAGGTTGATGGTGTAGAAGAGCGTCTTCCGTCTCAACGTAATGTTGAAGATGATGTCCGGGTAGGGCTCCTCGCAGCACGAGTAGAACTTCTCGTTCCGGACGGCGGGCACCTTCATGATGTCCCACTCCACCGACAGGTAGTAGTCCTGCAGGTCGATCCCCACGTTGATGGTGTCCGAGCCCTCTGTCTGGTTGATGTGCCTCAGGTCCACCTGTCAACACGGGAACGCCGGTGCGGCACCACGGGTCAGCTGGCGCGGGGGGCGGAGGGGGCGTGGGTCTAGAGGGGAGGGGGGATGGTCAGGACTTCGTGCCAAGTCCCAGGCCGGCCCGCCCGAGGCCCCGGCCCCCGCCTCCCCTCCCGGC